TAAGAGGTAATGAGTACATTTAAATATATAGGGCTGCATGTTATGCTTTTATATCTGCATATGTGAAGGTGAACTTTTCTGGCATTGAGATATATTTAGCCTATGAATATAATTAAAGAATAAACTGAAGTACAGTATAGCTCAAAAAATAGTGAATCAAACCAAGAGACACACAATATACTAAGGCAGGTTCTGTGAGGTTAATGAGGACTGACGTACTTACCCTGCAGGGTTAAAGAGATCACAGATTAAGTTCCCTTTCAGCTCAAACTACCTACATATGTAGGCCAGGGATCATTAAATATAATTGATCAGCTGCACTGCTGCTAGCGTCAGCAGATATATAGGGAGAAGACACACATTTATTAATTTTTTAAAAAAAGAAAGATTCCTAAAGATAAGACCCAAACTCCTTTTCTGTTAACGGTATGGATTCTGTTGTCATTTTTCCTTAAAAGTGATGATGGTGACAAAGCTAACTGGTCCACTAAAGCTTTTTCTACATTGTTCTTACATGTGTCTATTTCTTCACCCACTTGCACATCTATCCTATTTACTGTGTCAATGGGGCTCCTATCTGCCCCACAGCAGTAGACTGCCAAGAATCCAGTAGGCAAGTGGCCACTGAAAATGCAGACTGGAATCACAGCTGCCTGGTATTCGACCTTTTCAGAGCTTTTGAAGGAAAAATGCCTCTATACATAACCCTTGCTTTCTCTCTTTCAATAGACCTGTGATATATATACATAACCCTTGCTTTCTCTCTTTCAATGGACCTGTGATATATATCTTATATATTGCTTTTCCTTTATAAAACACTCAGTGCTGTCCCATACAGGGATATCATGAGAACAACAACATATTGCTGTTAGACGCTCATGTGTAACCAGCACTCATTAAGTAATAAGAAAGAAAGATCCAGGTAAGACAAAGAACATGCACTTGGACACTGAAACAAAACAAAACAAAAAATAAAGTGAGATTTCAATGATAATTCATCTTCCTCAGGCTGTGCATCAAGTTCTCGTGTGTAGCTCCAAAATTATACTTTTAATACTAGCGTTCCAAAGTTTCATGGCCACTGTTGGGGGCCAGGTGTAGCTTCTCAGATGGAGTCAGCTGTAGTCTGCATTGTGTGAAATGCTTGTAGAGTGTGTCTTCAATCCCCTCTTCAGCCAGTGGATTGGAATCTTTCACCCATTTCTCTAAACAAAAGTTGGCCAGCACTTTGACCCCCCAGCTTCATTTCCCCCTTTCTTGAAACTCAACAAGTTTCTATTTGGCTATGGAAAACAAGCAGGGTAACAAGAAGCATGGCAAGCCTCCATCAGAGTTGGGATTGAAAATTTAGTTAAACCACTGGGAACAGCCAAATTCCACCACATTAAAGCCAAGTCAATAGTTTTACTTGGTGGATGCTTTCCTTAGCATCCACTTTCCTTAGCATGCATTGAAAGCACACTTTATTTTTGTTTTATTTTCTTAATGGGCCAATAAAGTATCACCTGTTCCTGCATTTGCATTGTTTTGAGGACCATGTGGCCTTGTCCTGATTTTTTCTAATGCCATTAACTAGGCTTCAGACATTGTATTGTGACTCGGCATTTGGCAGATCAAACTAGATCACTGCCAAATGAGACAGAGATACATTTTCTGTGCATATGCTCAGGATTTACAACGCCATGTAAACCTAATCTTAAAGTGCACTATTGGGGCCATAGATCTCAAAGTGTGAATCCCTTAAGGCAGGCAAATCTCTAGGCTGGAAACATTCAACAGAGATTGCTGATGGTATAACAAAAGCATCATTTTCCATGGTGCACCCATGAATATTAATTTCCCCCCTGGGAATCTCTGGTCAAACATATTGAGCAGCTTCTGAAGCCTAACAGAAAGTTTGCAAAGATTATAATAAAATGTGTGACACATTATGGGAATTAGTATCTCCATTGTATTACCTTCAGCTTCCTAAAAATAACAATACTTTCTCCAGACTAGATATTCTTTGAATCAAGTGAGAGGGATTTCAAAGAGAAAAGTGTGGGGCACCTGGAGTGGCAACCAAAAAGGAGAGGGTTTGGTCTTACACATTGACCAGCAAGGCAAGAGCTGTCTATGGTCAACAGCACCCTGCATGAGTTCAGGATAATGGCATCAGGAGACTGTTCAGGGAAAAATGCTGGCTATTCACAACTGAACGATCTGCCTGGTTCTGGCAGATTGCCACAGTGCATCTTCCTCCATTAAGGACATGCTCTCTCTTTGGCTGTCTCTCAGAGGAAAGGGCCAAGTATAGCTTGTACGTCACTGGCAGTGCTGCCAGGTCTGAAGGCATACTGGATTCCCAGACTGCTAACATGGCAAATCTACAGATTAATATAAGCTTGTTAATAGTCAGCCACACTGGCAATTCAGAAGGTTTAATGGACAAAGAATCCATGAAGAAGGTTGATCCAATGCATGCTAAGTAATGTCCTAAGGCCCAGATTCTGAAGTAATGCCCAGAACCAACTTGTAGTGACCCTAACAGTTTCAAGGTAAGTGAGATATTTAAGGAAATGGTCTTTACAGTTCCATCCTTCCAGTGAGTTTCCATGGCCAAGTGAGGATTTGAACCCTGTTCTTCAGAGTCCTAGTCCATCACTCTATCAACTACACCACACTGTGTATCAAAGTAATGCCTGGATGTGTGCATTTGCAAAATGTTTATACCCAAAGTGACATGTGATGTTATGAGTTTTGTATCACCACATCTTTATTAGGTTCTGTAATAATGTGCCATGTTTCTGTAAATGAGCAAGTTTGTCTTTCTAATTCTTACCAAGTCTCAAAATTGAAATCTGAAGCTTGGCAACCCTTTCAGCTTAGCTTTTTAGAACTGGCATAGATGGGAGAAAGATTATCAGTAAACCCAGCAATAGGAAAACAGGGATGGGTAAGAATTTCATTTCATTTTGTTTTTTATAAGAATTTACTAAATTTACTAAAACTCACAAAACCTGAATTTTGAGCAAATGAACATTGAAAGACCCGCCTTTCCCTTATGGGGAGACTGTGTTTAAGAAACTAAACTTCCTGATGAAGACAATCCTCTGCAAAAGCCACAAGACTCTAGGGATAGCAACAAGGAAAAACAACAGAGTCTTTTTGCATCTTAAAGACTGATATGTTTTACTTGGCATAAACTTTTGCAGTTTCCATTACAGCCCCTTTCATAAGCTGGTTGGATAGCTCAGTAGTTTAGGTATGGTTGGGTGTTCAATTCACCACTGTGCCTCTTGGGAGAAGAGCCATCCTTTGGAGGCATGGACAAGTAGCACGGTCCCAGGGCACCCCAGAAGACTGAATACAGTCAGAAAAGAAACTCTGAATCAAACTAATACAACAGAATCACTCCAGTTCAGCTTGTCATTGTAGTTGCACTCTGAAGTGGAAACTTCGACAATAAGGGCAAGTCTCTCTCACTTCCTTCAAACCTTTTATAGGCCAGGACATATTTCAAAATCACAGGAATCATCATAAAAATTGCCACCATGGTGGTAGTAGTGGCAGGCAGACTGCCCACTCCCAAAATACCTGCCATGGATCATGTGGCCAATCACAAATCACTCAGAAAGCAAAACAGTGAGGCTAAACCAAAGGCAATTTGCCCAAGAGCCAAAGTACAACACAGAGGTGGGATCAGAGTTCAAAACATAAACAATGAATTTGAAATCAAAATCACTACAACAGTTTTCTGCTTCTGTCTTCTAGAACAAAGACTGGTGAGACTCAAATTCAAATAAACTGGCCAAAAAGCAGAATATAAATGAGAAGTAGAGTCAAAGAAATCACACATTTGCCCTTCGTGTGGAATAGTTTACTCATTTCAAAGAAGGTAAAGCAATGATGCTCAGAGAAACACAGATATGCACAACACCTGTCTATATCACCCACTCATATCAAAGCAACTAAGCAAAATACACACACAACACCCCCATTTTACCCCTAAAAAGGCAAAGCATCACATATACAGACAATCTCAGGGAAAACACACAGAACTCCAAGTTAAGCAACAACTTTGTTGTTGTTGTTTAGTCATTAAGTCGTGTCCAACTCTTCGTGACCCCATGGACCAGAGCACACCAGGCCCTCCTGTCTTCCACTACCTCCCAGAGTTGGGTCAAATTCATGTTGGTAGCTTCGATGACACTGTCCAACCATCTCATCTTCTGTCGTCCCCTTCTCCTCCTGCCTTCACACTTTCCCAACATCAAGGTCTTTTCCAGGGACTCTTCTCTTCTCATGAGATGGCCAAAGTACAGGAGCCTCAGCTTCAGGATCACTCAGCTTCAACAACTGCATACACCCAAATACAATATAGGTAAAATACGTATTTCACTTACTCTTGCTCCTTAGGAAATTACTACTTTTCACTTTCACATTTTTTTTTGTTAGGTGGTGGTGGTTACTGGCCAGTAATTTTATTCTATAGTGGTTAGTTAAGAAAAAACGGGGGAGGGGGCAGAGATCCTTGTTTCCTAAAAGGGAGCAAGGGAGGTGTCTCCACATTACAACACAACACTAGAGGCCTCAAAACTGGAATAAATCTGATCTGTGCATCTCATATAATGCGAACCTATGTAGTCTCAGTTCATACATTAAAATTTGTTTACATAGGAGTGACCTTGCCAGCAAATTGATACACTTCTCTCTGATCCCCTACACTGTGAGGGCAGCACCCAGTTGGAAGCAGAGGCACCACAACCCTGCACTCTCAATGTGGACGCCATATTGGATCAATCGAATCCCTAGCACAATCTGTTAAAAGCAGAGAAATCATGTGATACAGCATGGTCATAGAGTACCCCACTCAAACACTACTTCCATATGCCTAAAGCAATGAGGCCACATTGATTGACTGTAGCAACTGAGGCAAAACCTTCCTCTGTTTATTAAACCAAAGCAACACTTTCTAGGCAGAAACCAATATATCCTGAGGCTGTCCCCTGTCTTCTTACCTCCACATCCTTTTCTATCTCCAAACCAGCTTCCACCAGGTTGTGTTCAAATTCATTCCTCTGCTCCTGTTTTGCTTCCTCTAAAGCATCCAATGGACCCAAATCAATGACCTCAGCATCCAGACTGTGCATATCTTGGCCATGTTGCTGATGCTGCTCTTGTTGTTGTTCAGGTTGGTTTTTGGCAGTGTCCCCATTAGAAATAATAGCCAAAGATCCAGCTCTACGCAAGGGGCCTGGAGAACCATCACCAGGTTGTGAAGTACGCTTTCGGTAATGATAAGCTAAGACATAGTCCACTTTCCTCTTGCAGTCTTGGAAATGCATCCCTCCTGGTGTGGTCCTTTCTGGGTAGCCTACTTGAACTCCATCCAGATAATTGTTAATAACCTGGGGGAAAAAAGTTCAAAGACGCTTACTAGAAGAAAAATCCTAAGACAAAAGAGAGCAGAAGCATTCAGAATTTCCCAGCCCATCAGCCCAGGTTGACATACTACGTATGTGTGCAATATATGCAAGAATTAACAAGTTGTACGTGGAGGAAGGAAGTACAGTGGTGCCTCGCACAATGAGTGCCTCACACAATGATAAATTCACACAACGATGGCTTTTTCTGAAAAATTTGCCGCCTCACACAACAATGTTTCCTATGGGGAATTTTCGCACAACGATTTTGGGACCATGCTTCACAGAACGATTGCATTTTGGGTCCCCTGTTTCACTTAACGATGTTTTCAAAAAAGAGCGGGAAAGGTGGCTGTTTGGCAATGCTAATTTGTTCTTCTAACTGTCTGTACCCAGGATGCATTGCGCCTGTGCAGGGAAGGGATAAAAAACCTTCCCCATGCATCCTGGGTTTACTTTCCCACATGCAGTTCAAAGGTTGGCTTTGCCTCTTTGCTCTGTCTTGTGGGTGCTTTCTGTGCTGGAGAACTTTCAAAGGTAAGCTTGCATTTCTCCTCCTGGGTGGGTGGTGGGTTTTACAGTGTATCTGTACTGTACTGTACTGCAAAACTCTGATGATTTTTGCAAGGGGGAATTTGGGTCTGTCTGGCTTTGGTTATGGGGGTTTTTTCATTGGGGAAATTGCAGGGGGTTTTTTGGCTGGGGGGTTCTGTGGATTTGTGTGGGATTTGAATGCCCAAGTTCAAACTTAATTTTAATTTTTTTTCCTGCATGTTGCTTCTTGGTTGGGGGGGGGGTATGCTTTGTGTGTGTGGAATTCTGCAAGGAAATGGTTGCTGTTCTCTTGTGGCCATGCCTGCCTCTGGGATTTGGATGCCCAAGTTCAAATCTGATTTTAAAAAAATTTTAACTGCTGCCATGCTGCTTCTTGGTTTGGGGGGTCTATGCATCTCAATGGGGAAATTTTTTTACCAAAAATTAACGAAGACTCAGAAACTGTTTTAAATGCTTGGACTCATTAGTGCAGCTTGTGAAACCTTTGCAAACTTAATCTGGCTTTGTTCTGAGTCTTCGTTAATTTTTGGTGAATTTTTTTCTCCCCCATTGAGATGCCTTGAAGCCTACTCAATGCATTTGAATGGTGGATACATTGTTTCACACAACGATGTTTCCTGTGGGGTTTTTCACTTAAGGATGGCAATCCGTTCCAATTGGAAGGGATTATCTGGTTTTCAATGCATCTCTATGGGAAATGGTGTTTCACAGAACGATGTTTTCACAGAACGTTTTTTTTTTAACCAATTAACATCGTTGTGCGAGGCACCACTGTAAATGGAGCTTAGCCTAAGCAATTTAATACAGTTTGATGCCACAGACAGAAAGGGAGTGTTCTGCAAAAAACATTTGTGCAAACAATATCATGAAATTAGATAGACAAACATGAACTGCAGAGGAGATCCCCACCCCTACCCCTGCCACATGAAAAAATTCAGCATTGGATCAAACCAAGGTCCGCGTAATCCACTCACATGCTTCTGAGCACTTAGAAACAAGCATGGAAGTAATGTCTATAAGATTGGTCTGTTCTCTAAACTTTGTGACCAGTGGTATGAGTAGCATTGTACAAGAGAATGTCAGAATGTACCCCCCAAAGCTTAATGGAATGATTCCAGTTCAAAGTTCCAGCCATCTCTAGAACAGAAGTCTTGCAGTAATTTTGGAGGGGTCTTCCAAGGGGATGCTTTTGGTAAAAAGGAAAAAGTAATATTTCTTCTCTTATGAATCCAGTAATATAGCACAGAAAGAGGAATTTTAAAAGCAAATGGTACACTAGATCCTGTTGGTCCTGAAAGCCAATAATCAGTTACCCTTCCATTGTCTGGTGGATCCCTCTATTATTTTAATCAACTACCTATTGTTTTTAAGTAGCTGGAAAGTCTGCTAGGCATGTAGTAACCCTACTATTCCTATTGGCAACTTGTATTGGCAATAACTGGAATGAAAGCTGAAGATTAGAAGACAGAGAAACGACGAGGAGTAATGCTTCTGTACTCCAAGAACATAGTCAGACTTACTTGCTGATGCAAATGATTGTACTATTTTCAACAAAGAGAGTATCAACAGATAAATGCTGGATAGCTCAGTGGTTTAGATACGTTGAGAGTCTGATTCCCCACTGGGCCTCCCAGACAGGAGCTGGAATTGATAATCCATAGGGTCCATCCCATCTCTGCAGTTCTAAGATGATAATGATGATTATAGACCATCACAAATTTATTATTTGGATGGTCTACAACGGATGCTTGTTAAAATCAGTGAAATAATGAAGTCAATCTAAAAATGAATGTGAAGAAAATCAAGTTCATGGCAAGCAGTAGAAAGTAAGCATCCAAGGAAATGGAATTAAAATTCAAAAATGTAAATATGGAATGTGTGGAAGTACCTCTGAATTTTGCTAAATTGACCCTGAGAATCATGGCCTTATAAATGTTAGAACACAAACAGCCCAGAGCAGCTTGCTTAAGATGAAANAAAAAAAAAAAAAAAAAAAAAAAAAAAAAACCTTGAGAATGTACAGTGCCATATATTCTTGGTTCTACTATATAGCATGGAATCATGGACTGTAATACAGGCTAGAATGAAAGGACAGAAACATTTGAAATATGGAATTCTCATAGGACACTAAGAACTTCATGTACTGAGAAGATGAACTGTCAAGAAATACTACAATGAATGAAGACCAAAAAATCAAGAAACACAGAAAGTTAGAATAATGGAAAGAAAGTCATATAACAAAAGTCATATTATGAAAAGTAAAACAGATTGTTGCAGCTGATTATCAATCAATGGGAGAAATAATGAGGGAAGAAGAACCTCATCAACTTCTTTGAAGCACCATAAATGGTACCTTAGTTGTTTTTAATGCACATGCAAAGATATTTCTGTCTAGATAATTGCTAATTATACCTGATGAAATTCAAAATTCCAGTTGTGAGAAAACCTATTCATTAAGTTATCCCAAGGATACTTAGTCATGGAATACTAGAGCATTTTTTGCTTGCCCTAGCTAATTTAGGATGAAGAAATCAAAAATCGCATGATAGGAATGGTCGAAAGTCTTTCCTGACCAAGATGGGGCCACAACTAAGCCAAGAGAATGAACATCCATGTATTCAATGGAGTTTACTCTGAAATAAGTGTTCATAGCATTATTGCGTATTTGAAACACCAGGAAAACATTCATTCAAGTTATCACAAAAGCAGTGATTAACCCCTTTTTAAGAATCACCCTTAAAATAACTATGGAGGGAGTGTTGTCTAATCTGGAACAGCAGGAATTAAATTGTCATTCTGTTCACTTTTATGTCCTGAATGCCTTATAGGTACAGATATGTGCAGACTGATGTGGTCTTAGATATTTCTTAAACATGGTAAGGCTACAAGTGTGAATGTTCAAGCTAGATATTAATATACATTTTAAAATAGATAAAAATAATAATAACCCAAACAAACAAACCAGAAAAAAGAGCAAAGAAAGAAAGAAAGAAAGAAAGAAAGAAAGAAAGAAAGAAAGAAAGAAAGAAAGAAAGAAAGAAAGAAAGAAAGAAAGAAAGAAAGAAAGAAAGAAAGAAGAGACAAAAATGTTGTGGCACCTTAAAAACTGCCATATTTTAATGTGAGCTTTTGTGGATAAAGTCTACTTCCTCAGTGTCTGAGGAAGTGGACTTTATCCACAAAAGCTCACAAAAGCTCAGTGTCTGAGGAAGTGGACTTGGTCCATGAAAGTTCACATTAAGATGTAGAATTTAGTCTTTAGGCTGCCACAACATTTGTGTATCTTGGTTGTTTTTGTTTTCCTTGCTTCTGTTTTTCCTGATATGCTTGCATAGACTAACATGATTACTTCTTCAACTCTACCTGGGAAAAGGGTAGTAAAAGAAATACATTGTAGTCCCAAAAAGGGCAATTTAGAATCTACTGAATATTTACTGTCTCCAATTAATCAGCTAAATTCTAGGTGATTAATTCATTGATTAAAGTTATTAAGATTGTAGCTTCCAACTCTATTGCATGAACCTTTGAGCAAAGCATGGGGTATCAAATATCAACTTCCCAACTCAGCAAGGTCCAGATCAAAAGTGCACAGTTCTGTATGCCTGGAGTTATGAAGTGTCCCCTATTCCCCATTCCACTTCTAAAGGATGGAAGGGTCCTCTAGGATTTGTGTAAGTCAAGATTCTGCATACAGCAAAAAGAAGATGTTGATGAGAAGCCATTTCAGCTGGTCTCATCATCACTCAATGAAAGAGTAATGAGCATTTTGTATATGGCTAAAATGGGAAAGCAAATAACGAAAGACAAGTTCCTCTATCTGGCTACAACATTAATTTTAATCTTGCTTCAATTGCTGTAAATTTCTAGATAAGAGCAAGGGAATAGTGAGTGAAGACATTACTGCCTTGGGAGAGGTGCCCTTGTAAACAAGCCTCCCTAGGAATGTCCTGTTGAGCAGCAACATGCAAATGAGGTGGTAATTCATTCAACTTTCATGTCTGTTTTTATAAATATTTCTATATGGCATGTCTTTCTTTCACATGCCTTATCCAAAAAGCACTTAATATTGTTTTCACCCCAGACGGAAATAAGGCCTACGTAGGTCTAATTGTATTGATGTAGATTCATTATCCTATTCCCTTCTTTTTTCCTTCCCCTCTTTCTAACCATTCATTACTGAAATGTAAATTGTAAGATTTCTTAGGCAGCTTCTTATGCCTCAGCTCTTATTTTGCTTGAAGTCTTGCATCATTTTAAACAAATGAACATGTTTTGCTTTATATCACCCCTGGCAGCTGCATGGAAATAGAAAACCATATGCTTTCTTACTTTCTCTATCCCCTCAAGCAGATTCTTGTTAAACATTTCACCTTCACCGAAGGTA